AGAGACGCAGATACGACTTCCCTGAGTTCAGGAAACCCACTGAGCCTAGTCAATTAGAGCGTCGGCCAAACACACGACCGGAGAAGGCTCCCTTGGCTGTGCCCAGGCCTGCCGCCGGGAGCCCGGCCCCCAGCCCCATTCTCGGCGCCGGCTAGAAGGTGTCCCCCTTTCTACCCCTTCAGTACGTGAGGATTTAGACCCGAGGCTAGCACGTGGGGGCTCCAGGCGTACCAAGGTGTCCCCGGAACCGGCCCCCGAGGGGTGCTCCCAGCGCGGCCATAGTCCGGCCCCAAATTGGCCTGAGGGGCACTCCCGGCCTGATTTCTCTTCTCAGACCTATCTAGAGAGGCTTTCAGACATCTTCTGCAGATCGAGGACAGGCGCTCGCCAGACCCACACCCCCAAACTGCCTCAACCCATGCACCCAATTGCCCGGTTTCCTTACCCATCGCGGCACCGCTCGCTCAGACTTGGCGGCGGCAGCTGCGGTAGCTTCAGCAGACAATATGGCGGATCTGCGGGACGGCACACCGAATAGGACAAATTCACCCTGGGACGAAACGCATTTCCCCCCTCCCCCCCTTCTCGTCTAGATTACACTAAAGAAGCGCATTTAAAGAGACCGCAGCCAGTAACGGTGGGGAATAGGGATGAAACGCGAAAGTAGTGGCTGGGTGGGGAGAAATTGGAAGGAATGCATAATAAAGTTAAATGTGCCAAATTCTCCGCACATTCTGTTACTGTTTTTTCTCTGTAGTCTGGCCTTCCCCAGAAACTTTTTCGCCCAGAAACTCATCCCTTCCTTTGGTAATTAAAGCCAATTACAGACCCTGAACTGAATAAGAGTTAGGAATCATCTGGAGAAGAATAGTGACTCACTCAAGGCCATAGAGATAAGGAAAGGAAGAAGTCAAGTCTAAACCCAGGTTTTCTAAGTCCATCACCCAAAGCTGTACTTAAGACTGCAATCTTATTGGGAGATTAAGAAATAGAAAAATAGGGACTGGGAGTATATATATCACTCAGTGGTAGGGCACATACTTAGCATGCCCACAGACCTGGCCTTAACACCAAGCACCAAACAAAAAGAAAAAAAGAGAGAGAGAGAGAGAAAGGCCTGTGCAGCAAGCCTCTTGAGGGCAGGAATCAGTTTTATATTGTTCACCAGTGTATGGCCAGCACCTAGCTCAGTATCTGAGACATGGTGTTGGATGAATAAACAAATACATAGGACAGTAAGTTACACAGAGCAAGTGGCATGATCTCCTTTTTTACCAATAAGGAAATAGAGGCTGGGAGCATTTATGTCAATATGCCTTTTGAATCAAGAAAATGGCTGGACAGAGTGCCTATAATCCAGATGATTGAGGAGGACCAGAATTTCAGGATAGCCTCAGCAACATAGTGAGATTCTGTCTCAAAATTAAAAATAATAAAGGGCTGGAGGGGGGCTCACAAGTAAAGCACCCCTGGGTTCAATCCCCCATTACTACAAGAAATAAAGAATAAAAAAAAGTTATGGCTGGGACCCATTAGGTACTAGCTCCCTCTCCACACTGGGGATCAAACCCAGGCCTCATGTATGCTCTACCATTGAGCCATACCTTTTTTTTTTTTTTTTTTGGTACCATGGATTGAACTCAAGGGCACTCAACCAACCACTGAGTCACATCATCAGCCCTTTTTTGTATTTTATTTAGAGACAAGGTCTCATTGAGTTGCTTAGCACCTTGTTTTTTGCTGAGCCTGGCTCTGAACTCATGATCCTCCTGCCTCAGCCTCCCAAGCTGCTGGGATTCCAGGCTCCAGACCTCCTTTTTGGCATAATGAAATGCCGGTCCACCCCCTTTGTACCTCAACCTAGAGCCAGGTTATGTCTTCAGGTCACAGGTCCCAAAAAGGACCTAAGTTTTAGAGAGAGAAAAAAAAAGGGAGGGGGGCTATGTTTTAGAGATTTAAAAAAAAAAAAAAAAAAGGACCTGAAGTACCTGTTATCTGGTGCCCAGGGACTGTCAAAACAAATAGCCAACTCTAGTTGTGTGTCTGGCCATTCAGGAAAAAACTCAAAAGGTAAACTGTAGGGGCTGGGGATATAGCTCAGTGGTGGAGCCTGTGCCTTCCATGTGCTAGGCCTGGGTTCAATTCTCAGCACCAAAAAAAAAGTAAACCGTCTCAAGGTTAGGAAAGGGAACACTCTATTTCCCTTCCTATTGTCACTGTTTAAAGTCAGATCTCATCACTCTGTTTATCCTGCCTCCAGATTCTCCTTTTCCCCACAGTTTAAAAGCAGAGACTACCTAAACCAGGCGTGGTGGCTTAAATCAGGCGTGGTGGCTCATGCCTGTAATCCCAGCAGCTCGGGAGGCTGAGGCAGGAGGAGTTCAAAGCCAGCCTCAGCAAAGGCAAGGCACTAAACAACTCAGTGAGACCCTGCCTCTAAATAGAATACAAAATAGGGCTAGAGATGTGGCTCTGTGGTTGAGTGCCCAGAATACAATCCCCAGTACCAAAAAAAAAAAAAAAAAAAAAAAGCAGAGACCTAATAGTGCCACACCTTGGTTTAGCAACTTCCCACTGCCTGGGTGCCAGATTAGGTAATTCCCAAACATTTCAATCTGGTACACAAATTGGTCCTTATCAGCTTCTTAGGCCACTCCCCATCAGGCAAACCAGGCTTCAAATATATTTAGGGAAACTTTTTTTTCCTCAAATATACTCCTATCTTCTCATGTGTATTTGCATATACTGTCCTCCACCCCTTGACCCTATAGCAAGTATTCACTTTTTTTTTTTTTTTGTAGGTACTGAGGATTGAACTCAGAGGCACTTGAAGACCACTGAACCACATTCCCATCTTTATATTTTATTTAGAGACAGGATCTCACTGAGTTGCTTAGTGCCTCACTTTTGCCTAGGGTGGCTTTGATCTCACAATCCTCCTGCCTCAGCCTCCAGAGCCACTGTGTGTGTGTGTGTGTGTTGGGGGGATGTATGGGTATGTGTGTGTGTGGTGCTGGGGATTGAACCCAGGGCCTTGTGCATGCAAGGCAAGCACTCTACCAACTGAGCTATCTCCTCAGCCCCTGAGTATTCACTTTTAAGACACAATTCAACAATTACCCTTCAGAGAAGCCCACCTTTCTAATCAGGGTTCTGTCTTCTGTTTCTACAGTACTGAAGCTAGATTTAAAGACAGGTAGTCAGTGTAGTTAGTTAAATCGGGTCTAATATCGAGTAAGATCCAAAATGGAGGTCATGTTGAGAATGAATTCTGGGGAAGCAGAACAACTCTTGGAATGTTAATGTTCCCAAGGCCCAGAGCCCATCCCAAAGAAATGTTAATGAAACAGCTCCCAGCAAACTTGAAGATGCCTACCCAAAAGTCCTAAAAGATTATTTGTTTGGTCCACCTGTGCCCCACTCTTTGGGCCTTCCCACCTACATTCCATCACTGAAAGATAACAGAACAAAGGACAGGAATGGGGGCAGGGGACCAGATAAAAAGGGGAGACAACCACACTTCCATGGATTCCACCTGTTGGGTTCCCTTCTTCCTCCGGGAGAAGTCTTTTCTGCTGTCCTTTAATAAACTTCTTTCCACTCTGACCTTGCCTCAGTGTGCTTCTCTGGTGCTATTCTTCAACATTGGGGAAGCAAAGACTCATCACCGGTCAACAGCGGTAACAGTACTCTGGACATTTTGTTTTCCTTAGGACTTCACACCCTAATTTATTCATAAGGTGCATTCATCTCTCTCTCTCATCTTTGCAACTATCCCAGTTTTTAGCATAGTGCCTACCACAACAGACACATCAAAAACATGTTGAGGAGTCTGTCCCCCATCCAGCTCATCTACATACCTGTGGCCAATAAGGGTTCAGGGAGTATAGGTTGTATAGAAGAGAATGGCTGCTTCTCTCCTTCCAGCCTAAGCTCCCTCAATTTAATACCTATAGAAGCCAGGTGACCCTCCACACAGCTGTTTCCATTCTAGCATTTGGCCCTACTCACACACCTCCCTAGGCTAAGGCCCTAGGTCCTCCCTGATCTAACCTCTGTTGTCCTTTCAGCCCCACCTCTCACCCCACTTCTTTATCCTTTCTGCCTTAGAAACCACATTCTGCTTACCCTCCCCAAGCACACCCAGATGTTCCAAATCTATATGCTGTTGTTTGTACCCTTTTATCTCATTGGAATGTTCTTTGCTCCTCTTGCTCACCTTTGAAGTGACTAATACAACTCAGACTATCCTCTCCTGTAAGCCCACAGAGTGTTAAACATTCTTTCTCTGAGGTACTCTGTACCTTATAACTGTGACACTCATCCAGTGTAGTGTTGTTTGCATCTGCATCTTGGCATCCTGTCTACCATAGTGCTTGGCACACAGCACAGCTGCAGTGACTGCATGCTGAGAGAGTCAAGACATCCCCTTTCACTAGGGCAACAGTGTCATCATTCAAAAGTATTTTTAAAAATGTCCATTTCTACCAATTCCTAGCTGTGCCAACACGGGCAAGTCACAGTAGCTCTCTGAGTTCCACTTCCTCATCTACAGGAGTGATCCCTCCTAGGGTTGCCATTAAAAGTCAGATTTGGTCGGCCAGTGCACATGCCTGTAATCCCAGCAGCTTGGGAAGCTGAGGCAGGAGGATGGCCAGTTCAAAGCCAGCCTCAGCAACGAACGGCAAGAGCAATTCAGTGGGACCCTGTCTCTAAATAAAATACAAAATAGGGCTGGGGATGTGGCTCACTGGTCAAGGGCCCCTGAGTCTAATAATACCCAGTAGCTATATTTGACAAGGCCTGAATACAAAAGAGCAGCATCTATACACAGCAACCAGTTAGCAGCAACAATCACCACCATGGCCTCTGATGTCTCTCATCCATTAGAGAAAGCAGAGGCCCCAAGACCAGAAGCCACATGTGAAGCTTCCCAACCCAGAATTCCATATTTCTGACTCTCTGACAGAAGAGAAAGAACCACACAGTACACATGCTTGTTGGGAATATAAAAATAGGACTTTTTTTTTTCTCGTCACATCAATTATCAAAGAAAGAAACAATACGTAACAAAAATACAAAGCTCTGGTGGATTTTTTTTTTTTTTAAACCCCACACTCAACCCTCCCCAACAGCCACTTTCCAGGGAGCTCCTGGCTGAAGCCTGGATGCTGTTCCTGGGGTTACCCTGAGACTCAGGAGAATCGGTGATCCAGGTCTCTCTGGGGGCTGGCTGAGTAGGAGTAGGCCTTGCCCAAAACAAGGCGGTCCCGCAGCAGCTTGAAGAAGGCATAGTAGTTGCTGAAGAGGATGAGAGCCAGTGAGATGGTCTGGTGCCACTTTTCGGAGGACATTAAAGAGTACAGCTGGTAGACAATGACAGCACCCTCCAGCAGGAGGAGGATGTTGAGGATCCGTAAGGGTTTGCTGAAAAAAAACTGTTCAGGAAAGGATAGGCATGGACCAGAAGGTATGCTCCAGAAACCTGCCTCTTGGATGCAGTCTCTAGGGTAGGCTAGGAAAAGGAAAAGCTTTTGGGGCCCCATGCACACTTGGTGGAGAGAAGACTGTAAGATGTGCGTGAACTTTGCTACCTCATCTGCCTTTGCTAGTGGTAATTCTCCTGACAGGTCTGCTCCTCTCACCTAGTCATTTAAGATACTGTTCAACTCCTACTTCCTCCTGGAAGCATTTCTTGAGGTCTTGCTTGCTCTCTCAAACTGTCTCTCTGGTCTAAAATAAACATGTTTTTATATGTCATCCTCTTGGTATTACTGGGCCAAAACAAATTAGAATCTTATGGCATTGGCATGGAAAGTTACTATAGACTGTACAGCCTGCCTACCTACTGCTTCCTGTGTGGCATCTCTAACTAGGCTGGAAGCTTCCAGGGAACATGGAAACACCCCACTCTTACCTGATGTTTCAGAACAAGGTAGAGTGCTGAACTTAAGAAAAATTTTCTCCTAAGTTCAAAAGAGTGCTCAAGGGGCTGAGGTTGTAGCTCAGTGGTAGAGTGCTCACCTTGCATGCATGAGGCACTGGTTTCTATCCTCAGCACCACATAAAAATAAAATGAAGACATTGTGTCCACCTAAAACTAAAAAACAGAGTGCTCAAAATCTAGGAAATCTCAGGCTGGGGTTGTGGCTCAGTAGTAGAGTATTTGCCTACTACATGTGAGGTACTGGGTTCAATCCTCAGCACCACATATAAATAATAAACAAAATAAAGGCATTGTGTCCATCTACAACTAAAAAAAAAAATGTAGGAAATCTCAGCTTTGCTGGGGCTAAGGAACCTAAACCTCTTCTCTGGGAGAAGAGGTGGCAGGAAATGGGAGTTCAAGAAATCGGGATGCCATGCTCAGCCTCCACTCTGCACCTGACAGTCCCTTCTCTCTCTGGGCCTCAGGTTTCACAACTGTGAAATGAAGATAACACCCTGGATCAGTGATTTCTCAAACTGTGATTTTTAGAGTGCCAGGTTTCCCAGAATTCCCTCAGAAGCTTTAACGGAGGCAAGTGGGAAATAAAGGGAGATCCAATCCCTTCAAATAGAGCAGTACCATAAAGTCCTATATGTTGAATTTTGGTCTCTTGTGTTGGAAACAGGGATTTTTGACAGTAAAATAAATAAAATGGAGACCACTAGCCTTGCTGATTTTGAGCAGCCCTTTTCCACAGTGCTGAGTCATGTATCCTTACCCTCCGTTCCCAAGTTTCCCGGGAAGTACCCTTGAATAAAAGTTAAACTCTCTAAGCTGATTTCAGTATTTGGAAACAGAGATAGCCCTGGCATTTCTCTTTCAAACAAGATTCTGGGGAATATTGAATGGGAGGGTACATGAGTGCTTAGCACAATTCCTGTTATACAACAAGGAATGATCGTTATCCTCTCCACCAAGAATCCCTTCCTTTATTGTATGATCTTCTCCATCCAGTGCTCTGAAGTATCTGTTCCCAAGTGAGCTGCAATTATGAAGAGATAATCTGTGTCCTTGTGCTGTATGAATGCACTGTCTTCCTATGGGCTTGGGAAATTCTAAAAATAGCTTTCTCTTGCTATGACATCACCTTCCTCCCTGCTGATCCCCATCCACCCGCTATCCTCTAGATCAGGGTATGGCCCTCCTTCCCAGGGAAAGAAACTCACATGGAACCGGAAGTGGGAGACATCGGAGGGGATGGCCACATTGTAGTGGCCCACTGCCTTGTAGACATTCTTGCTGTGCTTCACCAGTACGCCCTGCGGCCACATGCATTCTTCAGTCCACCTGAAGGCACAGTCCAAGAGTGCCCCTTATCCCCAGCTCACCCATGAAAGAGAGGACCAGAAGATTGGGCACAGGGTGATTACCAGGGCTCTATTTCCATTTCATTGCTTGGACACAGTGACTTTCTCTTTTTCTGGGCCTCAGCTGCCTCTGCTCTAAATAGGGTAAGAACCATGAGAAATTCACTGCACTGGAAGTCAGAAAGTCTAGAGCTGAAGGGCTACAAGAAAACCCTTTTTCCTTTTCTAGTGTATTTGTTTCACCTGTTCTCATTTCTATCCTCCAACTGGTCTACCACACAGCTTCATGAGTGTTCTCTGTTAAATACCAGGCTGAGCCTGACTATGAGCTTCAAATGAGCTGCAGGCTTCCCAGTGCCCCACAGTTTTAGCATGGCCTCTGAGGTCCTGTATGGCTGCCTGTGATTCCCACCACATAGTTCATGCTCAAGCCTCTCAGAACTACTTCAGTTCCTCTAGCACACCATATTACTACTGTTTCCGCATAAGCTGCTCCCTCCAACTGGATTGACCTTCCTGATAGCCTTCCAGAAAGCTTTTCATCAACTTAAAAAACCCAGGTTCCTCCAGAAAGCCTTTGTTTGTTTGCTCTGGTGCTTGGGATTGAACCTAAGGCCTCATCCACGTTAGATAAGTACCACTGAGCTACATCCCAGCCCTTTTTACTTCATTTTGAGACAGGGTCTCTTTCCAAGTTGCCCAGGCTGGTCTTAAACTTATGATCCTCCTACCTCACATCTCCCAAATTGCATCACTATGCCCGGCCAGAAAGTCTTTTTTAAAACCCCCCAGTGTTGAGCATCCTTTTACTGTTACCTGAATCTCCTGCTACTGGTCCACATTCCCCAATGTTGGTCATTTATTTATTTCCCCATCTGTATCCCTAATTAAGCTGGGAGCCCTTTAGGGATAGGACAGTGTCTGATTCATCTCTGTGTCCTCAGAGTATGCCACAAAGCCTGGCACTAAGAATCCCCCCCATGAGCATGTGTATAACATGGTGAAATCAGTGAATTTTTTCTAACATCCTTTCTTCTAACAACCTCCCAAATGTTCTAGGCCAGAGACTGAGAACCACAGCTCCCTTCTAACCCATTCCTGACCCACTAGTTCATTCAAAAACTAGTTATGGCCAGGCACAGTGGTGCACATCTGTAATCCCAGCTACTAGGAGGCTGAAGTAGAAGAATTGCAAGTTCAAGGTCAGCCTCAGCAATTTACTGAAACCCTAAGCAACTTAGCAAGATCCTGTCTCAAAATAAAAATTAAAAAAAAATAAGCTGGAGATATACCTCAGTGGCAAAGTGTCCCTGGGTCTAATCCCTAGAACCAATTAAAAAAAAAAGAAGAAGAAGAAGTAAGAAAAAGAAAAGGAAAAACTAGTTATGTGTGCCAGCTACAGTGGTGCATGTCTGTAATCCCGGCAACTCAGGAGACTGAGATAAGATCCTGTGTCAAAATAAATAATAAAAAGGGCTGGGAATATGGCTCAGTAATAGAGTGCCCCTGAAAAGAAAAGAAAACAAAAAAACTATATGGGCTGGGGTTGTGGCTCAGCCATAGGGTGCTCGCCTAGCACGTCCATGTGCAATGCAAGGCCCTGGGTTTGATCCTCAGTACCACATAAAAATAAATGAATAAATAAATAAAAATAAAGGTTAAAATCACAAAGATGAACTTCAAGACAATATGCAGAATGAAAGAAGATGGGGGCTAGGGATGTGGCTCAAGCGGTAGCGCGCTCGCCTAGCATGCGTGCGGCCCGGGTTTGATCCTCAGCACCACATACAAACAAAGATGTTGTGTCCGCCAAAAAAAAAAAAAAACCTAAAAGATAAATAAAATTCTCTCTCTCTCTCTAAAAAAAAGAAAGAAAGAAGATGGACATAAAAACATCTACTTATGATTTCATTTATATGAAGTTGTAGAATAGGCAGAACTAACCTATAGTGAAGGAAGGCAGAAAAGTTGTTGTCTTTGGAGTAAGGGGTCACAGGGAAGGACCATGAGGAAATTTTCTGAGGGGCTAGAAATGTTCTGTACCTTGATGGGGGTAGGTTACAAGGTGTACATATCTTTATCAAAACTCAAAGAATTGAGTAGGGCATGGTGGCACACATCCCACTGGCTTGGGAGGCTGAGACAGGAAGATGACAAGTTTGAGGATAGCCTCAGCAACCTAAAGAGGCCCTAAGCAACTTAGTGAGACCCTGTCTCAAAATAAAATAAAATAAAATAAATAAAGATAGGGTTAGGGATATGGCTCAGTGGTAAAACACCCCTGGGGGCAATTGCTGGAACAAACAAAACAAAACAAAACAAAAAAACCCTCAAAGAATTTTATACTTTGTAATTTGTACATTTCACTGTGTGTAATTTTTTTAACCCCCCCCCCGAAAAAAAAAGGAGAAAGAAAGAAAAGAGAAGACTATCCATAAAAACCACAAACACTTTGCAATGTACCTATCATAAGCCAGGCAACTCTGGCAGGGGTCAGGGGAGAAAGCTGAGGTTTAAATAGGGCAGGTGCTTGACCTCCAGAAGCTTTCAGTCCTAGAATGGCAGACAGGAAACTAAGTAAACACAGCAGAAAGCTTAAGTACAATAAGTATGGTACTAGGTACTATGGGGTGCTCAAGGGATGGGTTCCCCATAGGGGAAGGTGCTCTGGGTGTAGTGCATCCTGCAGCGAGGCCTCTTTCACCTCACTGGTTCTAACTATTTACTTACATGTCTCTCCCCCACCAGTCTATAAACTTGTTGAGGATTTCGTCAGTTATTTCCTTATTATTATCATTTTTTTTTTCCAGTGCTGGGGATTGAACCCAGGGTCTTACTCATGTGAGGTAAGCATTCTACCTTTGAGCTACATCCCTGGTCCTTTTAGAAAATATTTTATTTTGAGACAGAATCTCACTATGTTGCAGAACTGGCCTGGAACAACACCTGCCTCAGCCTCTTGAGTGAGTGGGATTATAGGCAGATGCCACTTTGCCTGGCCTGAACCCATTCTGAGGTGGTCAGTAAAGTGTTCCTAGAAGAAGCAAAGTACTAATGGATGGATAGGAATCAATCAACCAAAGAAAGAAAGAGCATTCCAACCAAAGATACATTGTGGGCAAAAGCTGGATGCAGAAATATATAAAGCATCTGAAGACCTGGGTCAGTTTGGTCTGGCTAGAGCAGAATATGAACTGGGGCACAGTAAGAGATGAGCAGAGGGCAGGGGATATAGCTCAGCTGGTAGAGTGCTTGCCTCGCATGCACAAAAGCCCTAAGTTCAATCCCCAGCACCACCAAAAAAAAAAAAAAGAGAGAGAGATGAGCAGAAAGGTTGGCAGGACTCAGTTCATCAGCTGGGAAACCATGCAAAGGAGCCTAGATCTTATCTGAAGACCTTAGTGAGCTGTAGATCAGTTTATGCTCACATTAAGCTATGTTCTATCTTTCTACTCTTTCCCCACCTCAGAGCCTAAGGCTAAGTCAATCCTCCTTTGGCCCATTCAGTCACTTTTCTGGATACCTGGACAGGACAGAAAAGGACCCTGATAAGCAAGGAGGACCAATGCCAGGAAGCTTGGCTTATGTGGCCTCCTTGTACATTTTTGCTCCTGAGTGGGCCTACCTCTATAAACCTATCCTATGGGCCTCCTCTGCCAGGCCTTGTCTTGGGCTCAAGACTCAAATGTGATTCAGAGGTGGCCCTAACCTTGAGGAACTTCAGCCTGATGGGGGAACATAGGCAGGAAAATTAGTATAACCTGGGGCAAAAAGTACTTTGATAAAGGGTGTAGAAACATTTGGCAGCAATGAAGAATAAGCCAAGCTAAGGGGAGGACAGCTCAGCAACTCAAGGTTCCTGAGCAAGGTAATATCTGCCTCTGCTCTGGGTATAGTGCATCCTGCAGCTAGGCCTCTTTCGCCTCACTCGTTCTAACTATTTACTTACATGTGTTTCTCCCCCACCAGTCTGTAAACTTGTTAAGGATTTCGTCAGTCATTTCCTCATGGTGGCCCTCCTTCCCTGGCCAGGGTTCCCTATTAGCTAACATAGCACCACATCCTGTCCCAAGCTGATGTTTCTAAAGCACACCTTGAAACACCTCTGCTGTTCAAAATCCTCTACTGCTCCCCTTAGCCTGTCGGTCAAAGTGCAAGTTCCTCTGCCTGATACATAGAACCCAGTTTGGTACAGAGTAGGTAGAAGCAGATGTCTACTGAAAGAGCAGATAATTTGATGATGAGTGGTTAAGTGAGCATGTGAGAAAGGATTGAACAAGGAATGAATGAATGAGTGAATGACTTCATGAGCAAGTCAGTCAATGAGTGAATAAATAAATAAGCCAGTGAATGAAGCAACCAATGAGTACATGAATTTACCACCTGCCTGCCTCCCATCCCCAGTATACTACAAGCTCCCCAAGGACAGGGAACAATTCTGTCTTAGGCCCCACCACACCCTACCCTGCATGTAATACCTAATACTCAAAAACAAGCTCAATAACTATTCACTGAAGTGAGCAAATGGGCAGGTGATACCAGACGCCGACCAGGAGGGCTGGGGTTGGGTAGAGCCAGGAGGGGCAACTCACGGGTGCTGTAGCACGTTGGAGCATAGCGCAGGGTCCACCTTCTGCCAGCAGCCCAAATGGGCAGCAGCCTTGTGCAGCAGGTCGCAGTAGCTGGCAGGAAGCAGGTGTTGCATGAGGATCACTGAGGTGCTGATGGACACTAGCAGGAAGAGCTCACAGGACCAACGCTTGTCGTAGTAATGTGTGTTCTGGGAACAAAAGGAGGTAGGTAAGGCTTGGGATGTTCCTAACAGCCTCATTCCCTCTCTCCCCTGATTCTACCTGCCTCAGAGGTTAGGAAAGTCCTGGGGAGACCTCAGGATGGCCTGATACCAAGAATCACACCTAACAAAGAAGGTTTAGATCCTGTGCCAACTAGTCAGTTTTCTATAAAGAAAAATTGCTCCCACTGCCCCTGCTCTGAGCCAGGGTACAGGCTGCAGGGTCCAAGAGACATAAACTCAAATCTTGGCTCCTCTGCATATTAAATATTTGACTTTGGGCAAGCCACTGTGTTTTATTGTCCTCATCTTTTAAATGCAGGTAAGAGCACTCCAAGATGCATCAGAAGGATTATAATACACATGAAACATCCTAGCATGTTGTAAGTGCTCAAAGGCATGAAGTCCTAAATGTGTAGATACCTTCCTTGAAGGCCATATAAGAGACAAACACAGATTTTTGAAGTGTCTCAGATCTGGATGAATCCTTGCTTCCCTACTTAAGAACAAAGCAGGATATTGTGACATGCTTGCTGTCAAAACAGCCACTGAAATACAAAGTCACTGCTCTTTCTCATCAAACACTGTGAATAACAATGCCATGTCTCCCTCATTGGCTAAGTGACCTTGGATAGGTTACTTCCTTTCAGGAAGCCTCTGCACTCCAAAATGGAGACAATTGTCACTGTAGTGCTCCAGATGAGAACAGATGGGAAACCCCATCAAAAACAGAAGAGTTATTTATAGAAACAGGAAGACCCCTGTGGGATAGGCAGCAGGGTACAGCCCCAGCCAGGCTTTTTCACTCTCTGGATTGAGCTGTATACCTTCACAAACCAGACAGGTACAAAGGCCACATAATAGGCACTCAGCATGGAGCTGACGAGCACTTCCTTCATGCGCCAATTGAAGTCCATCTTAAGGAACTCCACTTCGCTGCGAATGAGGCTGGGTGACAGGCAGCAGGCATGAGTGGGCATGGCTTCTGGGCCATATAGCTGTCGTGTGTGCTGCTTCCATGTCTCCCGAAGTGTCAGCAGGTAGTCCCGACTTCTTGCCAGGCCACTGACTGCCTCCCGGGGCCCCACGGAGGCCATGTGGCTGAAGAGGTTTGTCTTACGGAGATCACAGTTCAGCTGTAGGAATGGAATGTACATCCCAAACCTGCTGGGGAAAACAGTGGTATGGGCAGGCCTGACTGTGGGCCAGGATCCCAACCCTGAGACTCAGAGGGGACTCTGCTTTCCTCTCTGGGTCTCAGCTCTCCTGGATGCTACAACAGGAGGATTTAGACATCTGTCCAATCATCCATCTTCACATCAATGCTCCCCTTAGCATTGAGTGTGTCATAAGCATTGGGAATATGGCAGGGAACAAGAGACAAGTCCCTGCCCCACAATCTAAATGCAGCCTGCATTTATTGGGTACAGCCTATATTCCGGTTACTTTAACCCTTTACATGCATCCTCTTATTTTTTCTTATAAGAAAAACAAGGAATTAGATACTGTTATTTTTGTTTCCTTTTCAGCTGAATGAACTGTAGCTGGGAGAAGTAAAGTAAATTCTCAAAGGTTACACAATTAGTAAGGAAGAAATGGAGCCAAGGCTCACCTCTAGCCCTTCTGGTACCAGAGACCAAGACAGATAACGTAAAAACAAACAAAACAAAAAAATCACTACCAATAATTAATTAGTTAAAAGTATACATAAATCCAGCCAGGATGCATGCCTGTAATCCCAGCAGCTTGGGAGGCTGACATAGGAGAATTGCAAATTTGAGGTCAGCCTTACAATTTAGTGAGAACTTCAGCAACTCAGTAACACCCTGTCTCAAAATAAAAAATAAATTGGGTGGGGTTGGAGCTGGGGATCAGTAGCAGAGCACTTGCCTAGCACATGTGAGGCACCATATACAAAAAATAAGCACATAAAATAAAGGCACACTCTCCAACTACAACTACAAAAAAAAAAAAAAAAAAAACCTTAAAAATATATAAATAAACTGGGTGCAGTGGTGCATTCCTGTAATCCCAGAGATTTGGGAGGCTGAGGTGGGAGGATTATAAATTCAAAGCTAGTCTCACAACTTAGTGAGGTCTTGTTTCAAAAAATAAAAAAAAGAGCTGAGGATGTGGCCTAATGGTAAAGCAAACCTGGATTCAATCACTGGTACCAATAAATAAACAAATAAATAAAATAATGGGAATGTAGCTCAGTGGTAAAGTACCTGTGGGTTCAACCTCCAGTATCAAAAAAAAAAATAGACCACCACAAAAAAGAGGTACACATTGTATAATTGGGTGCATATGTGAGAAGTGGCTCTTCAGTTTGCAGAAGAGGGCAATTTAGGGATGAATATTTATTTTGTGTCTATGTAGTGCACTTAGGCAGTAAAATAGACCCTTAAATGGTACAAATCCCTTCTCAGAAGCACCCCCAGGCAGGGCTGGAGCTAATCAGTCAAGAGTTTTTCTGAGTGTGTAGATAGTACTTCATTAGGAAAAAAACTACATAAACACGGGCTTAGTGGTGCACGCCTGTAATCCCAGTGGCTTGGGAGGCTGAGGCAGGAAGGATGGGGAGTTCAAGGCCAGCCTCAGGAACAGTGAGGTGCTGAGCAACTCAGTGAGACCCTGTCTCTAAACAAAATACAAATAGGGCTGGGGATGTGGCTCAGTGGCTGATGCCCCTGAGTTCAATCCCTGGTACCCACCTGCCCCCCCAAAAAACCACCTAAACCCACAGCCTAGAAGAATATAGTGGGTCTTCTGTATCTGTGGATTTCTTATCTATAGGTTCAACCAGCCCCAGATTGAAAATACCCAGCAAATAATGTTACATAGTGCTGGGCACAGTGCCATACTCTCATAAACCAAGCGACAGGGAGGTTGAGGCAGGACTGAAAGTTTGAGGCCAGCCTCAGCAACTTGGTGAGGCCCTAAGCAACTTAAAAAGACCCTGTCTCAAAACAAAATAAAAAGGGCTGGTATGTAGCTCAGTGGGATAAGGTGCACTTCCTTATCTAACAACATTTTACCGAGCATTTACTGGGTTTAATCCTGAGGACCCCTGTTTAAAAAAAAAAAAAAAAGTTACATTGTTAATGAGTGCAGCTGCATTTAGGCTTACAATGGTTAAGCCTGTACTGAACTTATCATGTACAGGCTTTTATTCCTTATCATTATTCTCCAGAATATAACAACATTTTACATAGCATTTACTGTTGTATTAGGGATTAAAAGCCAGGCAGGGTGTTGCATGCCTAGAATTCTAGCAACTTGAGGAACTGAGGCAGGAGAATTGCAAGTTAGAGGCCAGCCTTGTCAATTTAGTGAGAGCTTATCTCAAACATTTTTTTTTTTTTTGGTATCAAGGACACTTTAACAGTGAGCTACACCCCCCCCCCTTTTTTTTTCTCCTTTTCTTTTCTTTGGAAACAGGGTCTTGCTTGGGTGCTAAGGCTGGCCTCAAATTTGTGATCCTCCTGTCTAAGTTTCCCAAGTCCTTGGGATTACAGGTGTAAACCACCTCAAAATAAATTTAAAAAGGGCTGGGGATATAGCTCAGTGGTAAAGTGCTTGCCTAGCATGACCAAGACCCAGGATTCCATCCCCACCACCACACACATACACAGTAATCTAGAGATGATTTTTCTTCCCACTATTCCTGGGTAAGAACAGTACATGGCACATCCCTGTAAACCCAGTGGCTGAGGCAGGAGGATCATAGGTTCAAAGCCAGTTTCAGCAACTTAGTGAAGCCCTAAGCAATTTAGTTGAGACCCTGGGTTTCAAACCAAAAAATAAAAAGGGGTGGGGATGTGGCTCAGTGGTAAAGTGCCCTTGGGTTTAATACCCAGTACCAAAAACAAAAACAAAACTGGCCTTCACTCTTTCTTAGGCAACTGGTGATTCCTCACTTCCAGGAAGTCATCAATATGGTGAACTGAGTATAAATACCCAATCAGCATGTGCACTAGAGCCCAGAACACCTGGACTCAAGCAACCCTCCCACTGCAGCCTTCCAAGTAGCCGGGAACACAGGTACATACCACCACGGCCGGCTGGCAGGTATTCCCTTTTAGTCAGCTTGAGGCCTCTCAATTTCCCCAGGTCCCTAGAATTACACAACCTCAAAAGGCCTCCAGTGAGGGCGTGTCTCCAAAAGGTTAGGGTCATTGACAGTGATATACTTCTTAACAACAATATTTTTTTTCCTTCTTTTTTTGGTATTGGGGATTGAACCCACAGGCACTTTACCACTGAGCTACTTCCCTGGCCCTGTTTTAATTTTAAGACAGAGCCTCACTAAGTTGCTAAGGCTGACTTTGAATTTGCAATCCTCCTGCCTCATCCTCCCAAATTGCTTAGATTACAAGGTGTGGCCACTGTGGAGGCAATTTTTTCTTTATCTTTTTTACTTTTTTTCCTGGGGACCCAAAAAGGGATACCTAAATATTTGGGGGCAAGTAACAGCCTGTTTGGGGTTTTATTTTCCAGGGATGTCACTATCTTTTTTGTTGTTGTTAGTTCTCGGCGGACACAACATCTTTGTTTGTATGTGGTGCTGAGGATCGAACCCGGGCCGCACACAGGCCAGCACGCTACCGCTTGAGCCACATCCCCAGCCCAGTCACTATCTTTTCTGAGGTAAGGTTAGGTAAGATATCTAGAGAACTATAGTCAAGAGTATGATCTTATCCAGGTGCTACAGATACAATCCTGTAGTTCTAGCTACTTGGGAGGCTGAGGCAGGACTGCTTGTTCCCAGGATTTCAGGAACATCCTGGGCAAAATAGTAAGAACTTGTCTTTAAAAAAGTATAATAACAACATTTGAGGTCAAAGAGGCCTGGATTAAAATCTCAGCTTTGCCACTGACTAGGTCTGTGATTTAGAATAAGTTATTTAACTTTTTTTTTTTTTTTTTTAATGGTGTTGGGGATTAAACCCAAGGCCTTGTACATGAGAGGCAAGCACTCTACCAACTGAGCTATGTCCCCAACCCCAGTTACTTAACATTTATTTATTTATTTAGTGGGAGGCATACCAATGATTAAACCCAAGGGCCCTTAACCACTGAGTCACATCCCCAGACTTTTTTATATTTTATTTAGAGACATGGTCTTGCTGAATTGCTTAAGGCCTCACTAATTTGCTGAGGCTGGCTTTGAACTTATTATCCTCCTGCCTCAGACTCCCGCCCACTGGGATTATAGGCATGCAACACTATACCTGGTAAATTATTTAACTTCTATGAGCCTCAGTTTTCTTAACTTTCCCTAGGTAACATAGCTTATATTGATCCTCATCTTTCAGCCACACATCAAAATAGTAAGTTTCATAAATTTTTAAATTTATTTATTTTGGGTACTGGGGATTGAACCCAGGGGCATTCAACCACTAAGCCACATTCTCAGCGCTTTTTTTTTTTTAATATTTTTTTAGATATTGATGAACTTTTATTTATTTATTTAAGTTTATTTATTTATTTTTTTAAGTTTATTTATTTTTTTTTTAAGAGAGAGTGAGACAGAGAGAGAATTTTAATATTTATTTATTTTTTCTTAGCTCTCGGCAGACACAACATCTTTGTTGGTATGTGGTGCTGAGGATCGAACCCGGGCGCACGCACGCCAGGCGAGCGCGCTACCACTTGAGCCACGTCCCCAGCCCCATGAACTTTTATTTTATTCATTTATTTATATGCAGTGATGAAAATCAAACCCAGTGCTTCACACATGCCTGGCAAGCATTCGACCAGTGAGCCACATCCCCAGCATTTTTTTATATTTTATTTAGAGACAGGGTTTCACTGAGTTGCTTAGAGCCTCGCTAAATTGCTGAGGCTGGCTTTGAACTTGTGATCCTCCTGCCTCGGCCTACAGAACCTGTGGGATTACAGGTGTGCACCACCAGCAATCCAGGGTCTTCAGAGTACTAGGCAAATGCTCTACCACTGAACTATATCCCTTACCTTTGTAAAATTTACTTTGAGACAGGTTTTCCCTAAGCTGCCCAGGCTGGCCTCAAATACTCCATCCTCCTAGTTCAGCCTCCTGAGTAGTGGGATGACAGGGGCTTTCATACTCTTAGTCTTTTAAACAAAACCCAGCATGATGCCTGGTTCTGAACAGAAGATCAGTATAATTTTGTATATAAAAA